TGTCCAATAATTTCAAGAACTGATCTGTATGTGTAAATGGTTGCTGAAATAGTGAGAAGTAATTATTGATTATTTGGAATATAGTGGAAGAACTGGTATTCTAAAAATATTCTCAAGTTTAATATATTTTTCATTAAAGAAACATGTTTTTGTTCTTGTGGTGAATCCAACTTACGATGCTTATACCCCATGTTGTGTGCACACGCATGTTTGTTGTGTGGGGGGGGACAGTCATTTTTCTCACAGGCCAGCATTTCTGTGCATTTTATATGCAAAATGTATGGGTGGAAGGATGATATACATCAGTAAAGTCAACTCATGCAATTGCAAAACGTTTAAATGGATGAGTCATTTTTTAGGCAGTAAATATTCATAAACAGAGTAGAATGAGTGTGTATTTAGGTATCATTATAGTGCTGTTTTAAATTGTGCTTTTTCCATTCATAAAACTTTTGAGATAAGATGGGAAATTATTGAAAAATTTGATCCCAGCATAATATATGCTTTTCTGAAAGCATGAGAGGTTAGCAGTTGGTTCTGGATCTGTAACCAGGAACTCTGACCACTAGACCACAGAGGTGCTCTCTGTATATACATGTTTACAAGATATTTTTATTCCTTCTGTAATCCAGCTGTTATTTGTTCTACCTACACTTTCATTGTGAATAGGAAGACTAGCTTCAAGGATATTTAGAAAGATATATAAAAAAGAGTTAAATTTGTAGGTTGTATCAGTGTTTTTGAAGACAGGTTCCCTCATTTCAGTTTCTAATAGATGCTGAAATTGGACAATGGTTTTATTTATTTATTTAGTTTTTTTTTGTTTGCTGTTTCAATGGTATTAAATTACTTTTGTAGTATTATATTTAAGCATCCTGTTACACTCTACACAATGTATGACAAACTCCATCCTAAGTGCAACAATTTATTGTAGTTCTTTTGTCTTCTTTTCTTCTACACTACATGTTAGGACGGAGTTTGTGTCATACATTACTTTTGTAGTAATAATATTTACTGTAAGGAACTGAGAATTGTGGTCTGAGAGACCATCGACTGTATGAGATGTACAAGAAGAGCTTAACCTTGTACTATTTATAAAAACACTTATGTCAATGACTATACTCCAGAAATTTTGACTTGTTGCAAAATTAAGTGTGTGTGACAGATTGCTAGTCTTAATAAAAAGTTTACTTTTTTTTTTCATTTAAATAGTTGTGTCTCCACAGATTATAAACTCAGATTTTGAATTGTACAGATATTTTAAAGTTGCATCTAGTCTCCTTATAAATTCTTTAACATCTGAAGGATTATTAACTGAATTGCACAGATTTCAAAGTCCTGCTCCTTGCAGTGATGAAAAATATAAATTTTACTGAAATGTTGATCTTTCCTAACAAAAATACACACACCTCCCCGCTATAGGTCTTTTCTGAAAAAGCTGGAACCTAATGGGAAACCTTTGTGAGATGCAGCAGTTATTGTTCAACCATGTGATGCTCACTTAAACATAATATGTGAGGGTTTGTGCTGTCTGTTTCAGAAGAGTATACTAATTCCTCACTTCTCAATCCTCTGATATTCTGATGAAAGATATTCATATTTATTGAGTTGAATGATTCTGCATTTTTTTTTTGTGAATTTCCAAGACTGCAGGACAACATCTAGCCCTTTGACGTGGTCATTTAAATTCCGCGGCCGCGGCTCCTGCGGTAATATATTCAGCCGGCCATTT